ATCAAATTTTAATTAAGCCTAACAATAGGCTTGAACCGCTATACTTTATATAGCCAAACTACTACGTGTGTTATGAAATCCATACAAAATCGAGGTGATCACAACCTGTAAATGCAAATATTTACATAAATCTAAAGTACCAGTTATACGTAATTAAAATTATAGATATATTTCAGTACTAAATGATTTTTTAAAATCTCAGATACAGAAATTACCTTCCTCTTTTTCGATACTGGAGTAGCCATGATTAGACCTAAATGTAAAGAGACTCACCACTACCAGAGGGCCAAGTTATAAATGTGATTAATTTTGCAAAATATTTGAAAGCACAGCTTTACACCTAACTGAAAACAGGTCCACCTGTCGAAAAAGCTAGTTTTGTTGTGTATTTGTAATATAGTTTATCAACCTTTTTCGTCCAATGTGTTTTTCACTATCATAAAAAATGTATCAAAATGCCAAAGTTGGCGAATAGACAAAGAATATATATTGATCATATGCCCACCCCCAGTGGCTCGGCGATAAGTCTAAGGGCTTATAACGCTAAAAATTGGGTTTCGATATCCGCGGTGGGGAGAACGCAGATAATCCATTCTGTAGCTTTGTACTTAACAACAAATTAATTAATCACATTTCGTAGTAATAGAATAGTTTGAATTAGTTGGCTCTGTACAAGCATCAATTATCGAATAAAGATTATAAATCTCCTAAATACCATTAATCCAACGTCCTAATTCTCAAGATTAATTCAGTTATGATCTTAAATTTTATTAAATTGAGAACTTTCATTGGTAACAGTAAAACTCGGGTAACTTTTGTGGTATAAAAAACCACATGTTTCCTATCCTTTTAGTTACTACATAATATTTCACAATTTCTGTACACTTTCAGCCTTTTGTTCTTAATATGGAAAATTGGTAGTTACTAGATAATTTCTCAAAATTTCTGTATACTTTGAGCCTTTTGCTCTTTATATATAAAATTGCTAAAAGGAGCCATTTAGTTCCTCTTGTCCTAATTACTCATGAAGCTGGGTCAATCAACCAGGGAATTTCATGTGTTCCCTTTTAGAAAGGATTGATGTATCATAATGCACTCATTATAGAAAAAAGCAATTGTATTTTCTATTGACAAGTCATATGATGCCACAGAAGTACAACATCCTTTACTTTGAAGAAAGAGAGAAATCGCCAGTCCCGTGGATTGAGTCTGCTAACAGAAATTTTATTGTTGCTTTCACTATATAACACCATGTTTTATTCATCTGTAACAAGATTAATAAAAAAAAAACTTACTTCCGAGAGCAAAACCATTACATACAGGGTGTCTGTCCAAAAAGTCTGGGACCATAGGTGATTTTCGGCTTTTGTTAATTATAGATACATGACTGACTATGGTGTGTCAAAGCATGAGAAGATCAAGTTAATCCTGCTGTATGTCAAAGAAGGTTGGTTCCAACAAAAGGTTTCCGCGGAATGTAATGCACGCCATCCAAAGTGAGAGAGAAGAAATGGATCGGTGATGCCAAATATTTAAAATAACGAATTCGCAATGAGTGTCGGACAATTGGCATAACACGAATATGCTTCACAGTGTTCAAAGAGAATGTAAATACCGTCTCCAAACTTGTTTTGAATTACAAAGACAGCATATGGAACACACTCTGTAAAATTCGTTGAAGTGTTTATGGTTCCAGACTTTTCGGACACCCTGTACATAATTTGAATTAAATATAAATACAAAGTATTGTGATACAACTTGAAGTGTTGAGAGCTTAGCTTAACTTACATCACATATCTCTCTCCCTCTCTAGTAAAAGCACAAAGAAAATAGTTGTTTGTTACAAGTAAATAGTATTTTACTGTATGCAAGTTTTTCTATAATATTTTTCTTTTTATCAGACTCAGTCAAAGTAAATAAAGTTGGGCTTCTGTTCCACAATAAATTTTTGGGAATCCTCCAGTTAGTTATCTTTCTACAGTTTTTACTCGATTGCTCTAAAGGAAAATCGGTGAATCTGGGAATACCACTCTTAAAAAAAAAGTATAATCACGATTCCATATGTAATATTTAATAAACAATTCTTCACATATAAAATAAGCTACAAGCAGTTCATTAATATTTTTTATACCCAATGCCATTTCTAAGAGTTTTTGTTGAGGGATCAAAGAGTTAGTTTGAGGGCAGAAGGGGTCAAGAGTTATTAAATATAGAAGAAATAGGCTTTTTTGTCTTTAAAAAGGTGTCTATTTATTCCTTTAAATTCTTAAGAAACAAAATTTCCTCTTGTTCTATTTGCAGTGACGAATGGTGTTTCAAAGTATTGTTACGTCTCCGTTCGTTAGTTAATTTTCCGTAAATTTCGTTCCGACGAAACTTTAGCGACACAAGTCCTTTCTTAAATAAAACTGGTTTATTCTTTCTGAATACAACTTTGCAATACACTTAATTTCCATAGTCGCACTATAACAAACGCTGTAATTCACAACGAACGTATCACGTGCTCAACTCAACAATACTCTGTCCGCAGTTCAACTACACATTGTTGACGTCACGTCTTGACCGTCTTATATGTACAAGAGTACCAAATCTAGTAACCTCTCGCGGTTTCATTAACGTTCTAGAAGTGCATGACGTGTTACTAGCGTCACGTGACCTCCGCTGTCGTAACACTGCCCCTTCCTTAGTATTGTTCGTCCCGAACAATAGCCACTTACATTAAACCAATAAACAATTAACAATAACTTAATTAAATGTACAGAATTTACAAACACAAAATTACATTTCAACAAAGTCTCTTAAGTTTTACGGGACGTATCTTCTTCCGTACTGGTCTCCGTCTCGTTGGCTTCTGCTTCATGTGGGGTTCATCTGCTTCATCAGGAAATTTCTTATCGTCGGTAACAGTTCACATCAGTGGTAGTAACTTCATCAAGGGCTTCACTGTTTCCCTTCTCAAAACTGAGTAGAGTTTCTTCTTCGACAGTGGCTTTTTCAGGTGACACGTCTTCAGCAGCGTCATTTGTTCCGTTGTTCACTTCATCCCAACTGAAATGTCCTGGACCGTGATAAAGCCAAAGCCTGTTGGCATGCACCACCTTTGCCTTACCTCGCTGACCACATTTTATCCGGAAAGTCACGTCTGAGAGACGATCCACTATGCCATATGGGCTTTCCCATGGAGAAGACAACTTAGGAGACTTCCCTTTGGTCTTCC